CTTGGTTAACGCCCAGCGTGGGGACCCCACTCTGGAATTCACAGGCCTCCAGAGCACAAGCGGAACCCTGCCCAGTGGCTTGTGTTGTGGCACTTTGGACCAGTAATCACAGGTCACTGAACCATTCTGAGAGGCATGGGGGCGGCAGAGCTGGGGACTGAGCCACTTGTCCAATGTGTGGCCATTGTTGGAAGTACCAGTTTAAATGTGGAAGTAGGAGCCAACTCTGAGTGCCCTCTTCTGACCAATTTGGCTCACATCCATAGCATGCCCAGATGTGTGCAGAACTGCAATAACGATGGCAAGGCCAGAGCGTTGCCCTTGAAGGAGTTGCACATTCCTGCATGGCCCTGCAGGGTTTCTGTCTGGGGATGATTTGATGATCAGAGAGCATCTGCTTTGGGCCTCCAGTGTTGGGACTCAGGCTGCCACCAAGACACACATACGTTCTGCTCAGCCGCAGACTTTCCAGCATGTGGCTCTTGCAGAGCATCTGAGGAGTGGTGCTGTGCGGAAGCGCTGTATGATGCTGCTTGCATGAAAGGAGCCACGGGGAAGTGCATGATGTCGAAAATCTCTTCACGTTAAGGCAGATATTGGGGGAGGTGGCTGGAAAAGCAGCAAAGGTGCCTTTAGGAAGGAGCCAACATCTTCCATGTAGCTAGAGAAATGGGCCCAGCATTTTCACACCCACCATTGGCTCAGCCTCCTGACCTGTTGGCTGAGAGACTGACACATTCCAGGTGGCCGGGGATGATGGTTCTGATCTTGGCCAATCCCTGATGTGGTGTCCCATCCGCTCCCACACATACTGAGAGGGGGCTGGCATGTCCCATTATGGGAACAGCACCTGAGGTGCTGCCTGCAGGCCCCCTGGGTAGGGAGATCCCTGCAGTTGGGGAGGTCAGACTGTGGTAGCATGTGGCATGCCCTGAGGCCCAGAGCCATGGGATGCATTTGGAAAGGATGAGCCATTGTCCTGCTGCTGTAGGATGCTGGATTTCTACTTTCCATCTGGTAATTGCGGTCAGCTGCTCTTTAGCAAGGATGCGAAGGGAGATTTGGCCTCTTGGGAGGGCTGTTGGCTTTGTAGCTACTCCAGTAAATCATTCCAGTCGATCCCTGACTCAGGCATCTTGGAAGATCTAAGAAGTTCTCAGGAAGATGGGGCAGGGGCAAATTTTAGTACTTGACAGCTGGGGTCAGAGTTGACTTCTTCAGAGCTGCTCTTCTCCCTTGGTGAAGAAAGCTCCCCTTGGTCAGTAATGTGGGGCTGCACTGCCCAGGTTTCATGTGGAGGCTGAGTTGCAGTAAGATCTGTTCCTGAAGCCAGTGTGGGTAGGAACGGGGCAGCACCCTGGTTCCTAGACACAAGTGAGTATTGGTTGGTTGGTCGCATTCTGGTTCATCTTTATGCATATCATAAATCTCCTGCATAGGTCAGCACGGTAGCCATGGAACAGTCTGCAATGCCGCACGCTGGGTGCGCTGCACAGCTATGTGGAGGTCCAGGCCTAGAACAGCAGGGTGTGCTGCAGTGATTGCAGGGATGCCAAAACAAGCAGTATGCTGTAGCCCACTCCTGAATATCCCTGGAAATACAGAGAATCCATCTGTCAGAGTCTTTCAGGAATGTTAGGAATCGTTCCTCTTTCTGACACCGTTTCACTCCCTACTTGTGTGTAAATACAAATTAGAAATCAGAATTCACAGAGCAACCTGCACTTGGACCAGAGCAAATAGGAATTCAGCCTTTCAGTACATAGGAGCATAAATGGTTACATGCTTGTCCCATGGTTATAGAATTTCCAAAGAATTCTACCTGCTTGATGATTCCTAAAACCAAAGCTTTGCTCGCAGGCAGGTCAGGTTTCCTTCAGGGCTTGCCCCAGCCCCTGCAAATCAAAGAAGTGCCAAGGGAAGGGAAAAGCCTCCAATGTCCCTTGGCACCTGGACATCCCATTGCACAGTGTCAGGGACACACTGCACTCCTAAGGAGAGCACTTCTACTCGCACAGTGTGATCTGCAAGGCAAACCCTGAACTCCAGCCTCAGCAGCAGGCATTACAGAGATGCTGGCTGTGGCTCTAGAGTTGAGTTTTCCCCCTAAAGCAAGGATTCAACTTCTTTGCCAGCTTTTCAGGGGAAATTAGTGGCACTTAGTCACTATTGTATCATTAATACCAAGTATTCATTTAGCTATTTTGCATATTGCAAATAATTTGCATAGATATTCCAATGATCAAAAAATGGAGTGTGGCTTTAGTGCTGGTGAAGGCATTGGCCTGAGAACCCAAGTGAATGGAGGTCCCTTATTTATCTACAGGGCGGCAGCAGGACACACTTCTCCAACACACCACTCTGCCTGCCATAAGCCTGGGTCATCAGAGGGCTGCCAGTTAGTGCCAAGCATGGAGAGGAGTGTGTAATGTGGGACCTGGAACTGAGACCTACCAAACTCTTCAGTCCCAACTGAGCGGGGTTAGATTCAATCTGTTGCCATACGGGGAAAGGCTGTGTAACCCATCAGCTATGTCCTGAGGTACTGGATCCTGCAGCAAGTGCTGACATCAGAGGGGTCTCAGAGAGAGATTATGGAGAGGCTGGTCCTTGCTCCAGAGCTGTGTCTTGAGTTGGGATTTGTACTTCAAAGAGGGGATTCAGCTGCTTTGGTATATATGAAAAATACACTGTATCCTCCCCAAACTACAGCCCTGTGGTTTGGGAACAGAAGGAAGCTTCTGAGAATTTCCAATTCATTAATAGATTTGAATTCCATGTTTGTTATTAAGAATTATCTTAATGGAATAGTGCAGGCTCTTCAGACCTCCGTAGAGTTGTCACTCACTGAAAACTTGTGCACAGACCTTTTTAGATTATTGATCACTTTTATTCCCCTTCCCAAAGCTTGGGCACTTGGAACATCTTATATATCTGTGGGTGTTCAGCAACCACGGTATCCGGGTGTTGCAGGCCGTTCTGGGTGTTACAGAGCAGTGGTCTGAGCCTCCAGATCCACCACTGAGCCCTGCTCTCAGCCAGGCCACTCACTGGGCCAGCACTTCACTCCACAGCTGGGGTCAACACCCCCCCTCTGTGACCCAGAAGCAATGAGCTCATGGGCCCTGGATTCTGAGGGGTGGGAGTCTCCTGTGGCCTCTCTCCCCCACTTGCTCACCATTCATTCCTGTGGCCTCCCAAGTCTCTGATCCTGGGAAACTGTAGTTGCCCATGGCGCTTGCTCTGCCTGTCTCGACATGTGCCGGTGAGAGCGGCTGCAGGAGGCAGGGTCAGGCAGGAAATCTGTCTAGGAAAGGAAGCATGTTCCTCATTACTTCTTGCACCACCCTCCCTCTTTGGTCTCTCTCCTGGTGAGTGTCAGCAGGCAGTGGGGGCTGTCCAGTCCCTAGCAGTGCAGGGACAGCCAGTGATCCGTACGTGCTGTGCTAGCCCTGAGATTTTTGATCTCTTCCTTCCCTTTCACACTGGAATGGCCAGGCTGAAAGCATCCAGATCGAAAGGCAACACTGCTCCCACTTCTCACAGGCTCGTGAGACTGGGAAGCTGAAAAGGAGCCTGGCCACCCCTTTCCCCATGCTCATTGTAATTTCATCCTGTTTATTATTTGCAAAGAAAGAGTCACGTTTTTGGCTGACTTGTGAGCATCCCTCAGTCACTGTCTATCTCTGGTAGCTTTTCTGAGAAACATTTCCTATAATACATCCTGTCCCGGTTTGAAACACCACATGGAGCTCAGGGTCTCCCACAGCCCCAATCCCAGTGAGAGTCCTACAAAACAGTCCTCTCTTCAGGGGAAAGTAAACCCCATTAAGCCAGGGTGCCCTAGTCTAGCCCCAGAGCTGTCTGGTCACTTTATTGTTCCCCTTATCATGTCCTGTTTTGCCAGCTTTGGAGGTTGCTGTGCTGGTTTTAACCCTGTCTGCCTGAGGCTGGGAGCAGTGGGAGGAGGGGATTGAATTCTTTCAGTGGTTAGTGTTGAAGAAATTGCAAAAATAAACAAACACCAGAAGCAGGACGAAGCAGAGAATATGCCAAACTGCTTCGGATTTGCCCAGCCCGTGGTGTCAGGAGTGGCCTGGGTGTGTCTGATCCTTTAGAAAGAAGCACCAGTGACCCTGTGATCACACTGCCCAGCACTGTGTCTGGCTGGGCGGCTGCCTCCTGTCTGCATGCTGAATGAAACACACTGCACACTCCCCAGGGGTAACCAGCACCCCATTTGGGGTTTCCCTATGCCCTCTCTAGGACAGCGAGGCAGCTGTAAAGAGGTTGCAGGGCAGGCATAATTCCTGGGAACGCCTGCCTGGCCATGGAGCCAGCTCTATGTCACCTCCACAGCAGGTCTGAGTGCACTGTGTGTGTAGAGGTCAGGCAGGAGGTGGCAACTCCGAAACCCTGCAAAGCCCTATGAGGCCACTGAGGCAGAGGTGCTAGGCCCCCACAGTCCCTGAATAGGGGAGGTGCAAACTTCCCCCTCTCTGCCCCGGCACCAGCAGGAAGTGGGTTCTGCTCCTGGGGGGCACTGGGTTGGGATCCAGAAGGCCTGCATTCAGCTCCCAGCTCTGCTACTGACCTTGCTGGGCTCAGCTTCCCCTCTGTCAAAGGGAGGAGTGAGACTTACACCTTTGTACAGTGCTCTCCCCTGGATGGTTGCAAAACTACAGAAGTGATGATTGTTATTGTTTATTGATACTTTTATGCCAAACATCCATCTGCTTAGCAGCGTGCAGCAACACCACACTGAACGCTGTCCTGCTCGAACAGTCTGGTACCCAGTGCAGTCCTGTGCATGACACTGCACCAGGCAACCTCGGCAGAACAGTCAGGCTGTGTTGTAAGCATCATGGTCTATGTGTAACACCACCCCTAGACTTGTAAAGATCCATAGGGGCTGGAGACTGACAGGGCCCTGGCAGCCCCCACCTGCCATGTCTGTAGGGGCCATTTGCTAATGCTCCTCCTTTCTCCTCTCTTTGCAGCTGTCTCATTCCCTGATGTCTGGCGCCTCACTCCCTTGCGAGTACAAGCCCCAGGCCCCCTTTGCCAGCAGCGCCGATCGGGAGGACCTGTGTCCCCACATGAACATTGCAGACTTGGCCAGTCACTACCAGCGCCCGGAGGAGGAGCCTGGCGAGGCTGTACAGAAGAGGACGCCATCCCAGAATGGCATGCAGGACAGTGGGGGTGGGGGCACCGGGGTGAAGAAGAAACGGAAGAAAAAGGCCCTGGGGGAGTTGGAAGTGGGGGAGAAAGGAGCCTTGGAGAGAGAAATGAAACCAAAGAGGAAGAGAGAGCCCAAAGAGCCAAAGGAGCCCAAGAAACCCAGAGAGCCCAAGAAACCCAGGGAGCCCAGGCAGAAGGAGGCAGCCAAGAAACCCAGGAAACCCCGGGAGGCCAAAGCCCCCAAGGAGCCTAAAGAAAAGAAGAGCAGCACTGAGCCGGCCCCCAAGGCAAAGCCCAGAAAGGCCAGGTGGGTTTTGTTGTGTGTTCAGTGCTGCGGGGTCCTGCCTCAACCACACTGCAACCAGGCCAGGGCAGGGTGGTAGCTTCTAGGAGCAGACCAGGGCCACCTTTCCCTTTAGTCCAGAAGGACATTGTGTGGTGGGACTGGGGGGCTCCCTCTATTGGAGGCAGGATGGCCGCTGGCATACTGGAGTGAACTGTGTGGGCAGCACCCTTTGGGCACTCCTGTCTGCAGGGCTCTCACTGAGATTGACGTACAACGTGTGTGTACACCACTGCAGTATCTAGTGGTTGGGCAACACAACACGCCAGCCCTGTTAGCACCATGCTGTGCACGATCCTGTGTCCTCTCCTCCCTGGCCCCTGCGCTGGGTGTATTGTCACCGCATAGGGGGATCAGGTGGGAGTCATTCCGGAATGGGCAGGTTTGTAATGAGGCACTTACTGAAATGGTGGTGACACAAGACGGGCCTTTCAGTCTGTTTGACAAGGACCCTGCTGTTCCCATTCCAAGGCAGTTGTAGTAGTAGTCGGGGTATAGGAGAGTAAATCTGTCCAGAGCATTTCAACAAATGGGGGAAGCGGGCCACATGCACTCCAGCCAGACTTGGGGGTTTGAATAGTGCCTGGAACCCTTTGCATGAATGTGGGAATAGCAAGGATGTTAATAACAGCACTAGGGTGAGGCTCTTCCTCTGGCAGGCCTGTCACACAAGGATCTCAAAGCACTTTGTAAACCCTCCTAGCCCGAATAAGGAAGGTAAGTTTTAGCCCAGCTTTACAGACGAAAACACCGACCGAGAAAGGAGTGAGTGTTAGAAACAGAATCCACGAGTCCCATCTGTGACTTCCCTGCTCTAACCACTAGATCCCACTATCTCCCTAGAACTAAATTTTAGGTTGCCTTAAGCTCCCAATAGAATGCATGATACACTGCAACAGAGGGAGAGGGGAAGAGTCAGCTAAAGGTGGTGTAGCTCTCAAAGGACCTGTGAGTTCTTTTGTGTTGCATAATGTAACACTGCTGCCTTTGCTTGTCTCTCCTCCCTTTAATTAATGAGGTGATGGGCCAGTAGAGGAGCTCCCATTCCTGGGGAAAGCCGGTTAATTGGTAATATGCACAGATAATGGATCGGGTCTCTGCAGCTCCAGCTGCATTTGATTTACTATCTGTCCGGCTGGCTAAAATAAATGTTTTTGGAGAGTTCTGTAACAAACACACTTATTGATTGGCGTCTGGGTGCTGTGGCATGCTATGCATAATCCATATGCTGAGAGCATTTCTATGATGTAAGGTTAGTACCTGTGGGAGTGCAGTGCTGGCAAGAGACAAACATCCCCGAGCGCTCCCAAACTTTGCCTATGCAAGGCCTGCGTTTGCAGCTCAACAGGAACTGGAGCTACCAACTTGGTGTGAAATGGGGCAGCTGGCAGCTGCCCTGGTCTGTGCAGTGGAGCCCCCTGCAGGCAGGGCTGCACCCTGCCCTCAGTGTGTGGTGTTCCTCAAGCTCAGTGCATCACAAGCACCTAGGAAAAGCCGCTCTGGCTGCATGGGTCTTCAAGCCAGGGCAGCTCTGGACAAACCAAGAGGCACAAGCAGTGCCTCTGAGCGCAGGGGCAGGGCCAAGCAAAGCTTGAGGAGGAGTTGAGTGGACAATGAGGAGGAGAGCAGGAGGAGGGAGGGCAGTGAAGGCATGGGGAGGGCAGACAGAGATGGCATTGCGATGTAGTCAAGGGGGCTGGGCAGAGGCCAGTGCTGGCTAGGGAAGTGGGGAGGGAAGCGGGGAGTGGCTCGAAGGTGGGAAGTGACAGCAGGGCAGAACAGCCAGGAAGAAAGGGGAGTTTAGCACCAGTGTTTTGGCTGGGCTAGGGGTGGGGGCTGCAGTCAAGGGTCAGAGGAGGGGGTGGGGCAAAGGGGCAGCAGAGAGGTGGGCTGGACAGAGGTGAAGAGGGGAGTTTGTCCCTCCTGTGTCAGAGTGAACCAGTAGCCCTGTTCTCCCAGTGCTGGGCAGGGTGGGAAGCTAACATGCCAGGCCCGGGCCAAGGGGAGGCAGGCCCCTGCCCTCAGGACCTGCCTGGCCCTTCTCACTCTCAGCATGCTGGTTCCCTACCTGCTGCTCATGCCCTGCAAGGAGGAGACCAGCTCATCTGCCCCCACCCTGCAGGCGGGCGAGAGCCTCGCTACCCTGCCTGAGGCCCCAGGTTTAGCACCACGCACGCTCCACTAGGCCATGCTGCTTTTCATGAACAGCTCCTGCATTCTATTTGCTGCTGGCGCTTGTCCCGGCCCCTTTCCCTGCAGGGTGGGCATCTGAGTTTGGGGCTCATGCTCTCCAGGCTGGCTGCACTGCAGAGGCAGCTTCTACCAGCCCTGCCGGGGAGGGTGAAGAGCAGGTTGTGGTTATTTCTGGTGGCCCCTCCATCACGCACACAGTTCTGGCTAATTTGGGAGTGATATGAATAATCTTCTTGGGGAAGGCAGGGTCAACCTGGGCCTGGGATGGAATAGGTGGTTCTTTACTAGGAGAGGGAGGGCCTGGTCAGGCCAGGCAGCACTACGCAGCCATCTCTGGATGCAGATGGTAAGATTGCCACACTCTCTCTAAAGACCTGAGCATAGTGGCACAGTCTCCTGTAAATGATTTCTAACACATGGGTTCATGAATGGAAGGTTTGTTAATTGTGACACACCAGTCAGTCTCTTGGGTGGAAGTTACATGGGCAGTGCGTTTTCAGGCTTTAATTGTATTATGGGTGCAAGGCTAAGCCACTTTTGGCCTAAATGTCACATTTGTCTCAATCACTTTTTACAAACCCTGGCCGACCCATGAACCTGGGGGGCACAATCCAACAGATGCATCTTGTGTTCAACAACCCTTCCTCTGCAGCCTGGCAGACATTGCGGCATGAGCTAGTGCAGGGATTGGCAACCTTTGGCACGCGGTCTGCCAGGGTAAGCACCCTGGCGGGCCGGGCCGGTTTGTTTACCTGCCGTGTCTGCAGGTTCGGCCGATCGCGGCTCCCACTGGCCGCGGTTCGCCGCTCCAGGCCAATGGGGATGGTGGGACGCGGCAGCCAGCACATCCCTCGTCCCATGCTGCTTCCCGCAGGAAGGGAGGGGTAGCTCAGTAGTTTGAACATTGGGCTGCTAAACCCAGGGTTGTGAGTTCAATGCTTGAGGGGGCCACTTAGGGTTCTGGGGCAAAATCAGTACTTGGTCTTGCTAGTGAAGGCAGGGGGCTGGACTCGATGACCTTTCAAGATCCCTTCTAGTTCTAGGAGATAGGATATCTCCATTAATTTTAATTTAACAAGCTGGTGCCTCCCTCCTCTGGGTCATTACCCTGTTCGTTACTCTTTGTTGTTTGTGTGCCAGTACTGCCGAGTGGCCCCAGCTGAGCTCAGGGCCCCTATGGGCTGGGGAGAGAGAATCTTTGCCCCAGAGAGTTTGCACTCTGAACACTCTGGGACTGTGAGTACTGGGTTCAAGTCTCTGCTCTGCCACAGACTGCCTGCGAAACCTTGGGCCAGGCGCTGCATCTCTCTGGGCCTCAGTTCCCCTCTGTTCAATGGGGGAATATCTAGGAGCGAGGCAGGGGACTGAGGCCCAGAGAGAGTCAGTGACTTGCCCTAGGTCACATGGAGCTGTGAGCCAGGAACTGCCCAGTCCCAGAGCACTGAGCACAAGCCCAGAGTTGCTGTCCTATGCCCCTTTTGCCCTGCTCGACGCTGAAAAGATTGAAACAATTAGACATCAAAGTGAAATAAAATCTGACTGAGTCGAAGTCTGGTGTAGCTCAGTGAGCTCTTAGATGTGCTAGGACAGCTTATGCCTGCACCGTGGATCTGAGGACTCTTCCACAGGCAGTTCTGTAGCATGGGCTGTCACCTGTGTGTGAGGCTGCTGGAGGCGCTAGTGAGACAGTTTGGATGCAGTGCCATCAGTATGTAGGTGACACGCAGCCCTAGGCCTCTTCTTCATTGGACCAAGATGGTGCAGGGATTCTGGGGCCTGAAGGAGAGGGAGCTGGCTAAAGCTCAGAGCAGACCAGCCAGGGGTGATGCAGGCGCATCGGGGGGGCTGCTCTGGGTATGGAGGAGGGTGGCCTGTGGTTTTTCCAGCCGGTTTGCAGCTTGGTGCTTCTGGCCCCCAACTGTGACAGGATTCCTGAGTGGCTTCATTGGCCTGAAGCCCTTTGATCCTCCAGGCCTTTCCTCTCTGCTCCAGGCTTTGTGACTTGCTCTGACTTCTCCCTGTTGGGGTCACCTCTGTGCGTGGTGTGGTGACAGCAGGAGGGTCCAGAGCCTGCACTCCCCTCCCACTGCTTTCAGCTGCAGTTCAAGGTGTTGACGCTGGTCTGGAGAGCCCTATTTGAGCGTTGACATGGCATTCCCAATGAGGAGTCTCTGTTGCTCACAGCTCGCCTCCCCCAGACTTTGTGCTGGGGCCTTTATACATTTAAGAGAGAGAGAGATGAGACAGCCCCGGTCTCGAGGAGAAGGTGGCCCGGTCATCTCCCCACAACTGTGTGAATCCATCCAGCACCCCTGCGTTCCCACATCTGCCCATGTCCTGCTCACGTCGTGGCAGCGCTGCAGCGGCTCAGGGCTCCCTGCTTCCACGGTGGCAGTGGCTCAGGGCTCCCTGCTCCCGCATTGGCGGCGCTGTGGTGGCGCAGGACTCCCTGCTCCCGCGTTGGTGGTGCTGCGGTGGTGCAGGGCTCCCTGCTCTTGCGTTGGTGGCGCAGGGCTCCCTGCTCCTGCGTTGGTGGCAGGGCTGGTGGCAGGGCTGGCTTTAGGCCAAGTCTCCCAATTCCCCTGAATCGGGCCCTGCGCCTAAGAGGGCCCCATGCCCTAAAGAAGAGCGCCTAATTTAGGCGCCTTTTTAATTTTTACTCACCCGGCGGCGGTCCGGGTCTTCAGTAGCACTTCGGCGGCAGGTCCTTCAGTGCCGCGGAAGACCCAGAGTGAGTGAAGGACCCGCCGCCAAAGTGCTGCCAAAGACCC